AGACTCCAGCTCTCAGGATCTTCAACCACAAATGGAAAGTGCTGTCTGTCTAGAAACTTGCAACTCTGCCTTGCACCAAAGACAGTGCCAACTAAAGCTGTTGCTTACTGATTCAGGTTGTCCAGACTGTGGTGCAACAACAGCTGTAGGGTTGTTGCCATCTTCCTCCTCTTTGGCCTCTTCTCCAGCAACAGAAGGAGCCAGAACAAGTTCCAATGCTGGTTTTGCGCTCTGCAGACATAAAAAAGCTTGAGTGATCAGGAGTAACTCTTCATTTATAACTTATTTATGTCCAGCTCTATACCCTGGTGTATCTGAGCTGTTCATTTAGCTACTTAGATGGTCTGCACAGAGGGGCAGGTCCCTCCAGAGCACAGTGAGCCCTACACACCCTGCAAGGCTGAGAGTTGTTTCTTCAAAACACCGTCTCCTCTGGGGACAGGGGGCCTTCACACAAGGCACAATGCCTCTCACTTTTACTAACTTGTAGCGCCTAAAGACAAGATGGTACATTTTCTCTGATCCCAAGAGAGATTTATGGCCCCTGTCAGAAACCCAGGAAACTGATGCCTGAACATGAACGTCCAAAGCCCATTCTCCAGCTGTCAGGGGCTGGAATGAGTGGCTGTGTCACTGCAGACTCCAGCTCTCAGGATCTTCAACCACAAATGGAAAGTGCTGTCTTGTCCAGAAACTTGCAACTCTGCCTTGCACCAAAGACAGTGCCAGCCAAAGCTGTTGCTTACTGATTCAGGTTGTCCAGGCTGTGGTGCAACAACAGCTGCAGGGCTGTTGTCATGTTCCTCCTCTTTAGCCTCTTCCACAGGAACAGAAGGAAACTGAGGAGGGTCTGGTGTTTGGTTTGTGCTCTGGGGACAGAGAGTAGCCAGAGAGACAGAGAGACCTTTCACTAATAAACTGATTTCTATTCAGCTGTACACTCAGCTGTACTAATGAGAAATCATAAAATTTGATAGAAATTGGATTCTAAGTCGTTAAAACTAAATTAAAATGGGCTAATTAGATAGTACTGCACATTGTTCTGATTAGATATTCCACCCTGGCTAGAATCAGGAAGCAACCTTCTGTCTTCAAAACTGGGCTTTTTTCTTTTAAAAACCCATAAATAGAAAAGAAAAAGCAGCCAGCTGCTGCTGCTGCAGACACTGCAGTGGACTTTCTTTCAGCCTGCTCAACTGGCACTCTGCACTCTACTTTTACAGGCCAAGCTCATAGTTTGCACCATAATTCTTTTAAATGCGAGGAACATTAAAGGCTCTTTTCTCACTCACCAAAGGATTGGCTTGTCTCCATCTGTGGGTGAGGTGACCTGCAATGGGCAAGAGAAAATGAACCAGATGTTAGAAAACTGCCTGTGGTGGGGAATGCCATGGAACAAGTCAGATCAAAAGGAGAGCATTTTCCTTTCACAACATCCCTCCAGGAGCAAAAGTTCTTTCACATAGCAACCAAGAGAACAGGACAGTGTATTAGGCTGTGTCTAGTTTTCCCTGTTTGGTCAGGTAATCAATAGAAACTCTGTCAAGAAAATACACATTTTTCTTTAGCAGTTAATGCTTCTGCTCTACCCAGCAGCTAAAGCAGCTCTTTTTTCCTCTCTTTCCTCTTACCTTTTTCCTACAAAAAAAAAAAAAAAAAAAAAAAAAAAAAAAAAAAAAAAAAAAAAAAAAAAAAAAAAAAAAAAAAAAAAAAAAAAAAAAAAAAAAAAAAAAAAAAAAAAAAAAAAAAAAAAAAAAAAAAAAAAAAAAAAAAAAAAAAAAATTTCCCTCAAATCCACCTTAGCTGTGACAGTTCTACTCTGAAATAGCACAGGAACAGGTCCTGAGTTCAGGAGCATGCACAAACTTGTTTGGAGTTTGCACTTCATCACCAAGGGTATCACTATTTTAGCACACTGTAAAGTGGCAAGTTAGAGAGTCAAATCCTTTAATGATGGAACTTAGAAAAAAAGAAGTTTTCCCACAATTCTGGAGAGAACAGTACAATTTTTAGAAAGACTTTGGGAAGCTGTGTCAGTCTGCATTTTGCAAGGTGTTGATCAAACCATCAAACTGAGGAAGTGACGGACTCCACTGCCACACACTATCCCGTGGAAGGAACAGAACCCCTGCCGATTACATTTCAAATGCCATCCACACCCTGCTGTCTTGAGATACTCCCTTTTTCAGCTGAAGATGTTGACAGGAACTTTACCAAACTAGTGACATCTTGGTGGTGTTTTTGTTTTGCAGTCAATTCAGTCACTTAAGGAAAAGCATAAAGAACACAGCAATACAAAAGCCAGACTATGCTACACCCAGGAAAAACCTCTACTTACGTGCCAGATGGGTCAAATAATAGCCAGAATAACCCATAGAATAAACAGTGCAAACTGCAGCAGCTATTTCATCAGCCATTTTAGCAGTGCTGTGCAAGTGCTGTGCTCCAAGAAGAGAGTAAATGACACGCCTGTTCACTGAGAACACCTTGAGCAGGAGGATACTCCTGCAACGTGCAAGCAAAGAGTTGGTCTGATCACTTGCGCCTTCTGTGCACCAGGCACCACTGACACTATGAAGACATGGTAACAATCCCTTGACATCACAATAGCAGGCTCTCTAGGTTGCTTTGTGAATTTATGCAGAGCAACAGGATGACAGCAAACACAAAAATAGCCCGGAGAGTTCTTCTGTCACAAAGCAGCACAAACCCCCCTTGTATTCCAAAACCTGCTGCTCAGAGGTTTCAAGACTAACTGAAACAATGCACCAAGCACTTGTACCCTGTACCCCAAGCTGAACACTGAGAAGGAACCAGGATGTGATCAAACTAAAGGAAACATGACCTTTGGTCACTGATGCTTCTGACTAAAAATGAGAATGCTTGTTCCAGTAACCAACTTGCTGCACACACATCAACCTGTTGCTGCCTCGCTATGGCATCTCAAAGAAGCATCTGGGGCCTGTGAGTCACCTCCAGGAGCTTGCCTGGGCTCATCTGTGAGCTGCAGAGATGAGACTACAATGGTCAGAAGGAAAGGAAACAAGAAATTTGAAACAGAATGTGGGATAATTTGGAAGGTGGTGGTAGGAGGAAACTAGTGGACCAAAATGGGTAAGTTCCATGAAGGATGGGAGCTATGAGGCAGAGGCCGAAGAGATCAGGTGATGGGCAGGCCCCAGAGAAACAGGAAAGCAAAATTTGGTAGCATCCTTCCCCCTCCTCTCTCTTTGAAACTAGTTTTCTTCTCCTTCCTGAGGCTAACAGCAGGTGGCTGGAAAAATCACCTGTGATTTCCTTTCTCAAATAAAAATAAAAATAATAGAGAACTGGGCTTTTGCCAAGCGTCTAGTTTTGAAGCCATGTTAGCACTTTTGTATAGCTCTACACAAGTTCTTTCCAAGCTTTGGGAGTTTCCTAGCCCCAGGACCACCACTGGTCAGTTCATGAACCTACAAAATGCAGTGGAGAGAGCAGCTGGTCAAACTCAGACTGCGACTTCTGGGAGGTTGGGTATTGTCCCAGTGCAAATGCTCAGTGTATGTCAGGCTGAAAGTTGGGACAATCCATAAGAAATGCCTAATGAGATGCATTTGATATGCAGTTTCTTTGGATCTACAACCACCACTTTTCCCACTTACTAATGTCATAACCTTGGGTCTTAAAAATTTCAGTGGGTGACCAAATTTTCTTCTAGGTCAGGGATCAGGAAATGGTTGCAAACACACACGCCTTAGAAAAAACACTCCCAAAGCCCAGCTAACCACATATCACTCTCCACTGAGAAAATGCAACTGTTTCTTCAAACTAAAAGAACAGAAAACTTGAGCAGCCTACTTACACAGAACAGTTTCCAACCCATTTTATTCCCTGCTTTCTAAGTTGTACTTCTTAGCATATGTGATTGCTCCAAGGCACAGTGAAACAGAGACAGAACATCTGTTTGGGAGGAAAAGCATGGCTTGGTGCTCCAGCCGGAAAGCTAGAACTCAGGAGCCCATGCAACAATGCTTTGAGATGGAATGAACCAGGGAATGCAGCGGGGTGTGACTGCTGGGGGTCAGCAAATGGCCCAATGAATTTCACAGAACCAGCACTACTGGCACGAGAACTGTAATGATTTCAAATATCCCTCATATATTTGCACATTTATTGGATAGTCCCAGAGCACCTCCATGTGTATGTCTGTACCTCTGCCTTTACTACTTTTTGGAAGGAGCCAAACTGCCAGGCTTTGCCTACGAGCAGAAGCTGATCCAGCCTGGGAATGTGGTTCTCTGTGCTCATGTACAGAGACTTACAGCTTTTCAGGTGAAGCCAAGGAAGAGTGGGTTGAAAGGGTCTGGTGCTGCTGCTGCTCTGCCAGAGAGCCATGGCTGGGCAGGGGATGGAACCCCCTGTGCTGCGGGCTCTTTCTCCTACCAGAGCTGTATGGCACTTTTTAACAAGGAATGACAACTTGTGGGAACACAAAGGGGTTTTGTGGGGCAGCATTTATGTCTGCACTCAAGCCACCTTCAGCAGAGAGCTCCGGTTCCTGAGTGGCGTAAGGCGTGGGGCATTTGGCTGGACTGCACGGGCACAGCAGTCCTAAACAGCACTTTTGCTCACTCCTCAGTCACCGAAAAATTCAGGAAAATAAAACTCTCTCACACTGTAATTAGATTGTAGTTCTAATTGTAATTAGAAAGCAGGCATTACTTTATTTTGGCATTAGGTATGGGGGATCACTCCTCCCAACACATGTACACCCAGGCATCTAAAACACTAGTTTATACCTATGTCACTTATACATATTCACTGTATTTCCTGAAATTCATGCATATATGCTGAGCATTCTCACAAATTGTTTTATATATTTAAATTACTTTTCAGAACTTAGTTACATTAGAGTAGAGGTCTCTTGAGAGTCTCTGGTGGTCATTTAGGGAACATCCCATCCCTCAAATTATCCTTTCATGGTCACAAGGCTCCTAAAAACAGTTTCTTCTCCTTGAATGCATTCCAGCCATGTGTTCTGGCCAAGATGTACTTTCTTATCAGGCACACAGTCTCAAGGCTGAGACACCCACTTGCACACATTATTCACTGATCTGGGTGAATATAGGTGTATGTCATTCTGAAAGCTGTGGCACCTCTGGAAATCTATGCCACATTTCCCAGTGGCAATGTTTTCTCTTCCAGGACTTCAGCCAGCATCCCATCATGGTCTTGTGGCAGTTGTGCTTTGGATTAGGGCACTCAGATCCAGAAGATCTCCAGGATGAGGGTTCTCACAACCTCTCTGGGCACCCCACTCCAGTGCTTCATGATCTCACAGGGGTTTTGATTCCTAAACCTCTGTAGTTTCAGGAGATACTGCTGTCTCACTCTCTCACCAGGAAGTGCTGAGAAGCTCCTGTTGCCATCCCCTTGATGCCTTCCCCAGAGGCATCAGTGTGTGCTCTGAGGTGCCCTGATATTTTCTGTGCTCCATACTAAACCAGCCCCAGCCCTCAAATCCCTGCTTTTTTCTCCTGAGCTCCTCTGGTTTTTCAACCAGTCTCCAGCATCTGAAAGAGGATGCAGTGCCTGGATGAGGTCTAATGGATGGTGAGCAGAGAGTATCACCCCTGAGCCTTCTGTCTGGGGGAGAAAGAGCAAAACAAGTGACTCCCAGTGCGAGGAATCAGGGGAGCCCAAAGGGTCAGCCAGCAGTACTGGGGCAAGGGGAGAGCCTGGGGGACTGCCAGGGAGGTGCAAGGTGTTATACACTGAACCTTCTTGCCCCATGTGCCTGGAAACATCTCCCCCTGTCGTAGTATATGAGGATGGCCATGTAAATAAAACTGGGCACTTGATGATGATGGCCTAAATTCAGCTT